TTTAGAACCCGTTCAAACATTTGTCAACCCGGAAAAAACACAAAAAATTAAAGATTCCGCTTCCTCCGCAAAATCCTCATCACCTTTTGTCGATTCTCTCGTGCCACGTCATCATTTGGATTCAGAAGCAGCGCGGTGTCGTAAGCCTTCAACGCCTGCTCGTACTTCTGATTCAGATGAAGAATGGCTCCGTAGTTGGCGTGAGATGAGTAGGAATCGGGCAGAATTTCCATTACTTTTCGATAGAAAAGTTCGGATTCTGCGTAATTTTGGGATTCTTGAAGAAGATTCGCGATGCCTTGAAGCGATTCCACGTGGCTGGGATTCAGCGAAAGAGCTTTCCGATAGAAGAGCAACGAGCGATTGTAGTTGTGCTGTAAATGTGCTCGATTAAGAAAAAAATCGGAAAATTCGAACTGCAAACTTTTTGCTCAGCAGAGCGCAATTGCATTTCGGAAAAATTCGATTTCAGCGAAATTTTATCATTTTTTCGTAGTTTTCGTTTGTATTTTCGAAAAGTTTCAATGATTTTCTGTTTTTCTGTCGAAAAAATTCAAAAGAAAAGATAAAAATTTATAAATTTCGCTGAAAATCCGAAAACTCGAACTGCAATGTGATTTTCAGTATAATTTTACCACTTTCTGTCATTTTTTTTTCAAATTTTTTGCTTAGAATTTCAAACAATTTCGAATATTTTTTTGTTTTTCGAAAAATGAAGAAAAATTGATTGAGTTTTGCTGAAAATTCGAACTGCAAGCTCTTTGTTCAGCGGAGCGCGGTTGCCTTTTCAAAAGATTTGACTTCAGCGAAATTCTACCAAATTTTGTGCTTTTTTCAAAGATTTTTGGTTGTTTCAGGCGAAAAAATTTCAAAAATTTCGAAAATTTCAAAATTTCGGCATTGCGCAAGCGCGCTCCGCTGACTATCAACAAATTGCAGTGCGTGCCACAGCTAAAGAATACTCACCATATGATACTCTGCCAACGCGATATTCTGAAGCACAGTCACCGATTCTGGCGCCAACGTCATCGCCTTCTGAAGCAACCGCTCCACCTCGTAACTCTGATTCTGTCGAATTTTCAAATGTGCCATCGTCAAAAACGAGTTCACATGATTTTCGGAAATCGCCATCTGAAAATACCTCTCCGCAGATGCCACGTCACCAAGCTCATTGTAGCAAGTACCAAGCGAACTGAGCACACTAGAGGTGTGCTCAAAATGCGCTCCATCGATAATCTCCAGCGCCAATTTGAAATTCTCAATTGCCACGTGGAAGTGTCCAGATTTTTGAAGGAACCGTCCTTTGTTATAGGCACATGTTGCTTGAGTTTTTCGGTGGTTACGGTAGGACTTCAGAGTGTCTCCAGAATTCTGAATACAGGAGTCTAGATGGAAGAAGGCCTTCTGGAGTTGGTTGGTGTCGTGGAGAAGGAGTGCCACGTTGAGATGGGCGGCCGCGAAGTTCGATCTACTTTGAAGGGCTTTCTGGTAGTAATGGATTGCTTCCTGCGTGGAATTCGTCTTGGATGTCAAGATGCCTCTGAAACTTTTCGAATTGCCAATAGAGCGCAATTTCTGTGTAACTCACAAATTATACCAGGCATCTGCTAGATTCGCCCTTTTCCTGAGCGCCTGTTGATAGTGGAATTTCGCCAAGTCGAAATTTTTTTGAGTGGTAAAAACGAAGCCTAAATTCATGTGCGCTTTAGTTGGATTCACTTCCAGAGCACTCGAAAATAGGGATTCTTCGGTTTTCCAATCGTCGACACGTTGAATGGTACGGTAGGAGAAGATGGAGAGAAGTAGGGTGAGCAATGGAAGGGGGTTGGTGGTGGGGAATCTGGAAGATCGGAATTTTCGAACTTGGTGTTTGAGAATCTCAGAATCTCAGAATCTCAGAATCTTAGAATATTAGAATATTAGAATATTAGAACTTTAGAATTTTAGAATTTTAGAATGTTAGAATTTTAGAATTTTAGAATTTTAGAATTTTAGAATTTTAGAATTTCAGAATTTTAGACTTTTAGAATTTTAGAATTTTAGAATTTTAGAATTTTAGAATTTTAGAATTTTAGAATTTTAGAATTTTAGAATTTTAGAATTTCAGAGCTTCAGAACTTTAGAATTTTAGAATTTTAGAATTTTAGAATTTTAGAATTTTAGAATTTTCGAATTTTAGAATTTTAGAATTTTAGAATTTTAGAATTTTAGAATTTTAGAATTTTAGAATTTCAGAAATTTAGAATTTCAGAATTTTAGAATTTTAGAATTTTAGAATTTCAGAGCTTCAGAACTTTGAAATTTTAAAATCTCAGAATGTTAGAATTTCAGAGCTTCAGAACTTTGAAATTTTAAAATCTCAGAATGTTAGAATCTCAAAATTCTTTACATCAGCTATCCAGAATCTTGAAGTCCTGGATTCCAGGTTTTCTGACATCTTGGATTCCAGAATTTCGAAATTCCGAAACTTCCAAAATTCCAGAATAGCTCCTAAAAGTTCAGAAATTCAGAAGTTCTGAAAATCAAAAAATTCACAATGCAGAACTTTGTGAGCTTCAGAATCTCAGAATCTCAGAATCTCGGAATCTCGGAATCTCGGAATCTGAGAATCTGAGAATCTCAGTATTTCAGAATTTCAGAATCTCGGAATCTCAGAATCTTAGAATATTAGAATATTAGAATTTTAGAATTTCAGCACTTCAGAGTTTTAGAATCTCAGAATTTTACAATTTCGAAATCTCAGAATCTCAGAACTTCAACATTTTCTGGAACTGAGCTAGAGATTTTGTAGTTTTGGCGGGAATTCAAAAATTTTCGATTTTCCAGTTTTCTGATTTCAATATTTTTGATTTTCGAAGCGATTTTTGGTGTTCTGCTACTTATTTTTTCAATTTTCTAGGAGTTTAGAAATCCAGAATCTAAATTTTTAAATTTACAGTAACCCAAGGTGACAAATTTTTACACTTAAATGCAATCCCAAATACATACCTTACCTGAACCTGAACACTAAAAAATGACTTCTCTTCATCTTAACGTTGAGCCAATTTATCTTGGCTCCTGTAAAAGATATCAAAAAGTTGTCAACTGATAAAATCTAACTGATATTATGATAAACATTTTGTCTGTTGATCACTTCTTGATATCTTTGACAGGAACCCAAATAAATTAGGTCAAAGATAAAACGTCGGCTGAGCTATGCGATCGGCTGCCGATCTCTAAGCTTTAAGACAGTTTATCTGGATTTCTGTAAAAGATATCAAAAAGTTGTCAACTAAGGAAATATTTCTGATAAAATGATAAACATTTTATCTGTTAATCACTTTTTGATATCTCTCACAGGAAATGAGATATACATATGGGTTTTAACTCGAGGGTTCAAAAATTGAGGTGAGATCCCCTTTTTCAGATTTCTAGCTTTTCAAAATTCCCTCCAAACTCCTCACCTCCTGCAAACGACATCAACTCCATATCCAACCAAAATACAGTATGCAACTGTATTCAGATACAGTATCCTTTCAGCAGCCACGAAGCCAACATAGGTGAATAAATTGGATGATAGGATGTGCGGAATGGTCAGGAAGCCCAGAAGAAATAACACAGAATTATTTTTCTTGTAATCTTCTGAATTTCTGTCTTGTGGTCTTTCGAAGAAGAGTTCCCAAATCATCTTCGCTCCAATCGTGTAGAAAATGGCGGCCAAAATAAATCTCGAATCCAAAATCGATTCAACTTTCGGTATCGCATCCATCGACCAATCGAAACTCAACGTTTTTGGGAAAACAATGAGTTTTAGGTGGAAAATTGGGAGGTAGAGAAAAGTGAGGGCTCGGGTGAAGAAATTTGGGTCGTGAGCAATCGGGTTGTCGTTTTTGGAGAATTTCGGAGATTGGATGTTGTTGATTGAGAGGCGGAGATAGCAGATAATCGAGAGAGCGATGAAATGGTTGGTGATGTCTTGCCGGAATTGTTTGGTGGACGGGTTCTGGAAATTTTTGGAAATTAATATGGTTCAAAAGTTGAGTTTCAAATTGGCCGTTGACTTTTGTATAAATCTAGGTCAGGTTTTGGTTAAAACAACTGTATAACAAACCATGGATGGCTCTTTAGCAAACCACGAACTTCCGAACAGCGGTCCATGAACTGGTGAAGCGCTGACCATGAACGGTTCTATAACGGACCATAACCAGATTTTGGTCCCCAATAACGGCTCTATAGCGGGTCATGGAGGGGTGAATAGCGGACCAAGAACATATTTCGATCAGAAGTTGTCCAATAACGGCTTTATAACGGAACAAAGCCAGATTTTGGTCGGACGTTGCCCAATAACGTCTCTGTAGCGGACCATGAACGGCTGAATAGCGGACTATGAATGGGTGGATCGCGGCCCATGAACGGCTACATAGCGGACCATGAACGGCTTCATAGCGGACCATGAACGGATGTAAAGCTCTATTGCGGCCTCTCTCCAGATTTTGGTCAAATGTTGCCCAATAACCACTTTATGGCAGATTATGGTCAGATTTTGGTTAGAAATTGCCCAATAACGACTCTATAGCGGGTCATGGACGGGTGAATAGCTGTCCATGAACGGGTTTACAGCGGTCCATGAACGGATGTCAAGCTCTATAGCGGTCCATAGCCAGATTTTGATCAGAACTTGCCCAATAGCTCTATAGCGCACCATAGCCAAGTTTTGGTCAAAAGTTGTCCAATAACGGATGTACAACGGACCATGGACATGCTCTATAGTGGACCACGAGCGTCTCTATAGAAAGTCATGGTCAGACATTGGTCAGTAGTTGCCTATTTTAATGTTAAAACGGGTGTACAGCGGTCCATAGCGAAGGTTTGGTCATAAATTGCTCTATAAAAACTATAGCGGATCATGGACGGGTGAATGGCGGATCAAGAACATATTTTGATCAGAGGTTTCTCGATAACGGCTCTATAGCGGTCCGCGGCCAGGATTTGGTGAGAAGTTGCCCAATTACGGCTCTATACGGGACTATAGCTAGATTTTGGTCAGAAATTGCTCAATAACGGCTTTATAACTGACCATAAACGGCTGACTGATGGGACCGAGTTTTTCACATTTGAATGGTTTTTTGTTCATTTGAGCATTTTTCAAATATGAGAAAGCCGGGAAGCGATTTAAAGAGATCCTTCAAGGCCTAAAATTTTATGAAAATCTTACAATTAGAATCCCAGACCCCTATATTCCTTCTCGGATATTCTAAACACCCATTTTCCCGCTGCCTCCTTCATTCACGCCAATCCAATTCCCAATCATTTTCTTTTTGTCTTTCCACTCAACACAACACAACAACATTCCTTCAAGGTTACTGTAGAACAATACCCCCGGGGGATCTCCTTATTTCCTTTACCGCCTGAAGACCTTAGGGACGCCTCATTTGTTTTGAATACGCGCGTGCGCGAGAAATGTGCATAGAGAGAGAATTGGTGGACCCATCCTTCCGTTCTTATTAATGCATTTCCTATTTATCAAAACGAGAAAGGTAATAAATTTGGGATGATTCATGACCCCAAAGCACTCACCTTAAACAAGACATCATAGGTCACCACTAGTGGTATCAGGATGATTCCAGTTTCCTTGGATAGTACTGCCAGAACTGCCAGAAATATGGTCCGAATGGTGTTGGAGCGTGTGATATGGGATGTTAGAGCCAGGAGGATAAATGTGGTGGTCAGTAAGTCTGCTCTACCGACAATCGAACAAACGGCTTCAGAAGTGATTGGATGGCAAGCGAAGAGAAGGGATGAGAAGAGGGAGAATTCTGGAAAATTTAGAATTTCCGGAATTTCTAAAATTCTAAGATTCTAAGATTCTGAGAGTCAGAGATTCAGAGATTCAGAGATTCAGAGATTCAGAGATTCAGAGATTCAGAGATTCAGAGATTCAGAGATTCAGAGATTCAGAGATTCAGAGATTCAGAGATTCAGAGATTCTGAGATTCAGAGATTCTGAGATTCAGAGATTCTGAGATTCTGAGATTCTGAGATTCTGAGATTCTGAGATTTTGAGATTCTGAGATTCTGAGATTCTGAGATTCTGAGATTCTGAGATTCTGAGATTCTGAGATTCTGAGATTCTGAGATTCTGAGATTCTGAGATTCTGAGATTCTGAGATTCTGATATTCTGAGATTCTGAGATTCTGATATTCTGAGATTCAAAGATTCTGATATTCTGAGATTCTGAGATTCTGAGATTCTAAAATTCTGAAGCTCATAAAGTTCTGCATTCTCTATTTGTTGATTTTCTGAACTTCGGAATTCTTGAACTTCTAGGAGCTTCCGAATTTCGGAATTTTGGAAGTTTCGGAATTTCGGAAACCAGGAATCCAGGATTTCAAGGTTCTGGATAGCTGATGTCCAGAATTTCGGAAGTTCGGAACTTTGAGATTTTGGAATTTCAAAGATTCTGAATTTTTGAACTTGAGAACTTCAGAGATTCATATTCATCAAGTTAATTGGCTTAAAGTTAAAAGCTAGGGGCCCTTCTATTACAGGGTTTACGGTATGTGGATTCCTCAAAACCCTTCAAATCTCCAAGTCTCATTCAAATTCAAACCATCTTCCTCATCCTATATTCCTTTTTCCTCATCTCAATTTCCAAATGTCTAAACGTTATGACAGATGCACAGGAATCATATTACCATCCTCTTCTTCTTTTCTTCTCCTTCTGTTCTGCCCCTAATTGTGCATAATGCGATAAGCGACTGTCAATGATCTCGTATTTCAAAAAAACTCAATTCGTCTTTTTATACCGTATATGCTCCCACCCTATAAGTACACTTTGAGCTCCATTATCTCGGTTCCTGTCAAAGATAAGGAAAATCTGTCAACTGATAAATTGTTTATCATAATATCATCTATGTTTTATCAGTTTACAGATTTTGGTATCTTTAACAGGAACCAAGATATATGGGCTCAAAGTGTACGTACATGGTGGGCTTCTATTAGAGCAAATGCGCTTCATTGACAACTCACCCTCTCTAATCACCTTCATCTGCCTTGCCAATTTCAGCACCAACATTGAATTGAAGATGTGACATATCAAGTTGACCCCATGGAATCTGAAAATATAAGGGAAATCCTTCAGATTCATTTCCCAGTGTTTCCCCGAAATGCAATTCCCTGGAGTGCTCTAAAGAGGTTTGCCCAATGTTATCCCTCATCATAATTCCACTCTGTCCTCAAAAGGTCCCCTCTTATATAGACAGATTTCGCATTTATATGGGGCCATGTGATGCTCAGAAAGTGGGGACAGAGGGAGTGTATACAATTACCAGCCGAATGTTAAGTAACCTAGTCCCCCCTTCTCTATGATTCTCTTAAGATTCTTCTGTGGAATGGATAAGACGAGAGGAGCTCCAGAAGGCGATACGAAACTTGATAGTCCGGAAGCTTGTGGAAAAATGACAGAAAAAGCCCTCAGGCAACATGCAAATCCTATTATAGGGGAGGAGGTACACTCAGGAAGTTTGGAATGGGATACTTTTTTGCCAGAAGGATGTTTGAAGAAATAGGGAGATTTCATCAATGGGATTAGAAAATTTTGGATTTCTGGATTTCAAAAATCTGGACTTGAAGGATTAAGGTTCTTGAAACCATGGATCTCTAATTTTGGGATTTTTGGAATCTTGAATTCCTGGATTCTTGAATTTCTGAAAAATTCTGGATTCTGAAATTCTGAGATTCTTAGATTCTTAGATTTTTAGATTCTGAGATTCTGAGATTCGGAAATCTGAGATTCTGAGATTCTGAGATTCTGAGATTCTGAGATTCTGAGATTCTGAGATTCTGAAATTCTGAGATTCGGAGATTCTGAGATACTGAAATTCTGAGATTTTGAGATTCTGAGATTCTGAAATTCAGAATTTCATAACTTCGAAATTCCCAATTCTCGAAACTACAAAATTCCAAAATTGTTAGAATCCGAAATCCCAGAATTCCACAATTCCACAATTTCAGAATTCCGAAAATTGCAAAATCACAAAATTCCGAAATTTAAAACTTCTGGACCTTAGGGATCCTGATTCTTGAAATCCTGGATTCCTGAATTCCTGGATTCCGAAGTTCCAAAATTCCTGAGTTCCTTGATTTCTGGATTCCTAGTTTTCTGGATTCTTGGATTTTCGAATTTTTGCATTCTTAGATTCCGGAAATCCTGGGATTCCTGAATTTTCGGG